GGATTAAAGGTATGACAGACTTTAGAGGAGGTAAGAAGTTATTATTGGAATTAGCTACAGTTTACATTTTAAGTGCACATGATTTATTCAGCAAGTCTGCACTAATAAAAGATGATTTTGATAGCAAAGCTTTTATGTAAGGCTTTAGACTTTTTATTGGATTTAAAACCATTGAAAGATCTTACACCTCAGAAATTGCAGCTTTTGTCACAGTTACTTAATTCAAAAAAGCAGTAAGCTGAATTTTTCTCTGTGTTCACGTATATTCATACCCCAAAGGTACGTTAAACGGAGACCTCTTCCTGCTGTGGAAGGAATCGATCTACCTAAATCCTTAATCTTACGAGACTTTGCAAACGTGACTTCTGGAACTGTCCTTTATGGTTGAAATTTCCCAAGTTCAGTTTGTCAGAGATTTAAAAAATATGCAAAACTTTAAGTACTAGTTTAACTTCACAGAGAAAACATAAATAAAGCAAAAGAAATTTTCTTCCTATTAGAACACTGGTAGCTTTATTTATATGGCTTCGATGCTGGTAGTTTTTTGAAGCTCATGAATGTGTTTTGAATAATCAGACATGCAAGTTTCAAATAGTTCCTTTTTAAAAAAAAAAGCCACAACTTTAATATTAGTTGAAGTATTATGCTGCTGTTAAAACAAAATAGGAATGTGTAGTTGAGTAAATGAGGTACTACTTAATTAGTGCTCTTGATAAACTTGTAGTTGATAAATTGTATTAATTAAATTATAGGAAAAGTTTCACATTAGCTAATAAAACAAAACCCAACCCCCTTAGTTACAATTTAAAATTATTGTAACCTAATCTGGCGTAGCATACTATATTAAATTGATCATTGCCTTTTCTGCTATGCGATATTACACTCTTCATCTTTCTCATTCATTTTGCATGCATCTGCTCACTTCTGTACAGCCACTGTAGAGGCAATTGAGGCTGAAAAAGGTATGATCAGAGTCTTTGCCCTTGGCAGAGATCTGTGGTGTCTGGGAGGGAATTCAACAGTACTCTGTGTGGGCTTGTTTTACTTTCAACTTGCACAAGCAGGGATGAATCAACTCTATTGATTCATCCCTTTTACTTGTAACATTCATTTGTAGCTTTAGGATGATGATTACCTGTATTAATATTTTAAAGAGGTTTTTTTCTGTGTTTTTTCTTTTTTTTCAATRCAAAATATGCATAGGTTTCTGTTCTTATTTGTATAACAGCATGTTGTGGTATGTGGTGTTGTCTTGAAATCCTTTGAAATGGTAGTGTTTAATTTTTTTTTTTAATGCATTCAACTGCAGGGTTTTTTCTTCCTTTTTGGGGGGAAAATACAGGGAAGGAGGGTTGTTTATGCATGCCTGTTCTCATAAAATTCGTTATTAATGGCTTCAGACATTGTTTTTTTTTTTTTTAAACTTTCCATAACACATCTGGTAGTGCAAAACGTATAAGTACAAGGTTTGCTTTTCCTGTAGATTGCTTTTACATAATTTGTTGACCAAATTTGCTTCCCRTATATAAGCCAATCTGCCAATAAGAGGCATATTAAATTCTATGGATTATCAGTGCTGCTGCTGTACTAAAAAAAGTTGCTGTATATACATCCTTGGTTAGTGCCGCTGACTAGAATGCCATCAAATTACTTGCTATTCAGATTATTCAACTTTAGATTGTCCTTGACATTTTTTCATAGATATTTTAATTGCTGCTCAGTTTTAAGCGAAGTGWATGACGAACAGCATAGCAATTGAGAGAGAGCAACCTCAGTGCGTTCCCAGATTTGGTTGCAAAGCACCATTTAATGACTGTGTATCTGCTTTTTTAATTAAGGGAGCCAGATCTTTACAAGTTTAACACCAGACCGTATTCTGTTCTCACACACGTGTGCAGGGAGCWCTGTAGCTGTGTGTGTAAACATGTCTTAAATCTGCAAACAGTAATTTTGTCCCGGACACTTCAGTACCACAATGTGGTCAACCATTTTCAGGTCTAAATGTAACTGCAGACCTCATGCATTCAAATAAGTAGTAGCAAAACAATACTGTAAATGCACGGGCATTTACATGATGCCCTTTTCAAGTGCAGCGCTACCCCGGTGGCTGTGCTTGTGTCCCTTTCAGCCATCCACGCGACTAGCGCAGACCGTGACCCGTATCCCGCAGTTTTGCCCGCATGGAAACTGCGGGATGAGGCCGCGTGTGCAGGACGTAGCTCTGCTGCTGTCTCCGTGGCTCTGCTGCTTTGCCTCCCCTGCACTTGCTGTGCTGCTTAGGTCTTAGAGCCGYCACCCCAGGGCCCATGGGGACGTCCCGTGAAGCCCCACGCACCCAGCAGCAAAAGCAACTGGTGTCTCTAGGATTGGTGGCCCTGTCCCTAGCYGGGCAGAAGCAGTCAAGGAGCTCGAAGCCCCTTGATTCCTCCTTGCAGAATGTTTGCCTTGCTCTGTCCGTTTGTCCCAAATCGAAATCATGTTTGCCACTGAGCGTTTCAGGAAGGCAGATTAGACAAGCTTTTACTAATACAGATACAGAGCCATAAGTTTCTTTGGCTGATTTCTTACCTATTTTTAAAAATCATTGATTAGAAAAAGTATATGCTTTCATTTTCTTTTTCCATTACTGACATTTCAAATTTGCATTTTGTTAAGCAATACGAGGATTCTCTCCGCAACATAAAATCTGCAGTTTTGAAGAGGCAAAAGGTTTGGATAGGATCAATGAGCGAATGCCGCCCAGGAAAGATGCTCTTCAGCAAGATGGTATTAATACTATTAACACAACAAATGCCAATGGAAACAATGGAACTGGCAACAACAATGCACAGTGACCACATCAGCTTCTGGTTTACTCACTTGTGTCTTGCCTGAGAATTCCTCCCTTACTGCTTTTTGATGTGACAACAGATGGAATAGCCAGGGGGATCAGTCAGAGTGACTCCTTAAAGTGAGGTGGGAAACCACCGAGCTCGGCTCTGCTGACGAGAAACCCTCCTGCTTTCGAGACAACAGCCCCTCTCCTGGCGTGTGAGCCGACGTGCTGGAGCGCCCTGCCTGCGCTCCCGGCAAATCCATCGCTGGCTGCTGAATCCTGACTTCGCGGAAACGATTGGGCTGTTATCACTAAAGCACATCTAGACTTAGCATCTTATGCTTGTCGTTGTCAACACTTTTAAGTTTACAAATGGGGTTTTTTAGTAGTGCTAGTTTGTTTGTTTGTTTTGTTTTGTTTTTTTTTTTAAATCAGAATTTCAAGTACAACCCTAAGAGCTAACTATTTATTAATGGACATTGGTTTCATGAAATGTCTTTAAAACGATAGGTTAGAATGGTCTTAAAATATCTGAGGCTGCGAAACTGCATTTTAAATAGACAGGAAAAAAAATGCCAAAAAAAAAAAAAAAAATCTCGGTCATTCTGTAAAATGCTGACCTCAGGTTTACTCCTTAGATGTTGCTAATATTGTATTCACTGTATTTTTTAGTTATGGCTTATCAGAAGATTTCTATGTAGGAATGTTTATTACTTGAACACAGATTTAAAAAAAATATTTAATTTAGAAACTTTTTGCCCAGCTTTTTCAAGACTCCTCCCAACCTTGAATTTAAAAAAAAGAATATTATATATACTAATTTTAAAAGTAAGAAAAATATGGAAATGTTAATTTTAAGGTACTTTTAATTGAACTTTGTACATTATGTCTAAGTAAATTTTGATTCATATCAAGTCTGTAAAGCTTGGCATTGTATTTTGTGTATGCATGTTTTCATTTTGCAGATATTTAATATATAGACCTATGATGTACATCTATAGGTTATGTAGATGTTATGGGTACTTTTAGTTTATTGTGAGTATTACGGTTGCATAAATAGCTAATAATCACTGGCCTGAGTAGCTGCAAGCTTTTTATTATTTTTAAATCTGTAAAGGAAACTGAAACTGTATTGGACTTACTTTCTGTTTAGGCAAAGCAGCGCGTAAGCAATTGCTCTGTTCAACTGCTAAGGCATTAGTGGAAGTGTAAACTCGAGACTGCATGTATTTGGTATCTACAGGACTGCTTGGTTAAAATAAAAATTGAAGCCCTGTGCTGATTTGTTCACGAATAATGGACTGTACTGATCGCCACTGTACTTTGTTAAATATTTTGGCATTTGCTACGTGTCCTTCTCATCCCCTGGAACACAACTTGAAACTTAAGTTCCCTAGAGTTCATCTCCTTTTTTTGTTGGCCATAAAGTACGATCTGTACATGCCCCTGTCTAAGTTGGAAATTTTATGCATGTTCTGAACTATTCAAGTATTTTATAAACAGTAGCACACAATAAATTTTGTGCATGGGCTGCGGCTCCTATCATTGTGTATTGGTTTTATTTGGAATACTTAGGTCTAATCTGACCCAGAGAACTAGATAGAAATTCAAAATTTGAGCTAACAAAAATTCTGAAAGTCAGGTTGTGGCTTGCAGAGAATTAGCATGTAATGTAAATGACAGCCAATTAGGGTGCTATAGGTCTTTTGTTTGTTTTTGCTTTTGAGCTCTTTCTCATTAAAGAAATCAAATTTCATTTTTACCAATTAAAAATTCTCAGAAATTAGATTTAATTCTCAGCATTTTCTGCTAAACTGGACAAGCCTGGAAGGGCAGTGTCAGCAGGTTCTGCAGAAAGGATGTTCTTAGTAGCTCTGTTCTGTTTCTAGTTTTGAGCATTGAAGACACCAAGTGAAATTATTTAGGTTGCTTTTTGGGTGAGGGACTACTGCTTGAAGTTAGTGCAGGTATTATTTGATTTAGTCTTTTCTGGTATAGTCTCTTAAGTATGAGAAGCTGCTGAACAGGATGAGAATGAGGATGAAGCAAGATGATAATTGTAAGAAAGTGATACACTATTGCTATTTGAGTTTTAATATTTGATTTTACTTTATTGTAGACGCATTTTAATTGGAAACAATATTCTTAAAGCCTGAGTGCAGAAGACCAGCTTGTACAATGGTAAGTTTTTCTTTTCCTTTTTGTAAAGCACAGTCATATTAGTGAGCCATATAGTCTTTGCATGATGTTGTGTTAAAGCAGAACAGTAGGTGCAACGAAAGATTCACATGATGATGATGATGGTAMCTTTCTCCTTGCCAGTGCTAATGGATGATTTCCCAGCTCTCTTAAAACAGTATTTTTCATGATTTCATGCATAGTTCTGATACTTTTTGCTGCTCTTTCTGAAAGGTGGAGTCTGGAGCTGTCTCTAATTCTTGCATGGTTGAAGAGCAAAGATGATGCCCTCCCTCCCAGAAAACRGTAAGCGCCAGGCCCTGCTTGCTCTGTGCTTTCAGTGTTACTGGGAAGGAGAAAAAGCTCCATGTGCCATGTGCTGCTCCGGGTGAGAGAACAACTTGCTGCCACACGAGATGTAGCCGGTTCCTGGTTTCATTGGAGCAGTGAATGCTCTTCTGCCTCGCAGGGGGCTCACTGGACGCTGTGTGGGTCCTGGGGAGATGTGTCCCTTCCTCTTCAGGACTCGTGCGTTCAAACATTATCTGCTGCCACTTATCTGTATGCACAGGCTGGCCCCAAGGTGCTGCAGGAGTGAGCAGGGTTTTCTCAGCTTGGTGAGGGCTTGGTGCTGCTGAGGAAACTTGCTGCCACCTGCTGAGCCARGCAGGCAGAAGCAGCCTCGCTCCTGCCTAGGTATGCAAGCTTAAACTTAAAAGCTCGCCATAAAACAGATGAATGGCATGATGAAATACAGCCCGAGTTATCTGTTTTCTATAGTGGTGGGATGCATGAGCCAGACTTCAGCACTTTGTTTTGAATGATAAATAAATGGGAATATTTTTATCCACACATAAAAAGATGTRGATATGCTACTGTGCTTTACTTATTAAACACTAAAGTACATTCGTAACTTACAGGGAAATTTGCTCAAGATGGAATAAACAATTTAAGAGAATCTTGGTCAAGCTTGGAAATGTATTTGACACAGTGACTACTTACTCCATCTCAGCAGTGATCCATGTCACATCGAGTGGAATGTGTTCTTGTCCACTGAATGTACTTCTCTCTTGTCCCTATTTAGACTATTAATTTGACTAARCACATTTAAATTGAAAGATATTTCTAAGTTTTACATCAGAAAAAGTTCCATTTTTATTGAAGAACATTAATATAAATTACTTTTTTGTATAGTAAATTTGACATCTGTTTTATAGAATCCTTTTTGTCTTACAGTTGTGAAAGGGTTGCTTACTAGAATTAACTAGTATTTTAACTGCTTTCATTTGAAGATTTAATAAAGATGGAGTTTTAGTGTTTTTATGAGGATGCCTTACAATACTAACCTAATTCGATAACTATTTTGCTAGAAATGTTAGGACATACCTTACAAGCTGCTGGACTTCAAGCTCCCGATAAATTTATAGGTGGAAGTCAGAAGCAGTTTTGCTTTCTAAAAAACAACTCAAAGCTGTTTGTTGCATTAAAGAGGGATGCTAGAGAATGGGGCTGGGTTGTTGTAAAATACTTTATATCAAAGCCTCAGTCTTCTATGTCAGCTTAGCAGGAAACTTTAGCTATTTCAGTAAATATGCTGGATATTAGAGAGTCTTCTGAGAGTTCGTTTAATGATGCAGGAGCTGGGCAGAGAGGAGGGTGTTTTGTCTGGGCTAAAAGCACYAAGGTATAGGACTAGTAGACAAGATACATCTTTTATTGCACAATAAAGAATATTATGTGCTGTAAATTAAGGCAAATATAAGTGCAAAAAGCTTTTCTGAATAATCAAGAAGGCATTTTTGATTACACGAAGTTTAAAATTATTCTTTTACACATGGATAGTCAGTGGCTGCATAAAACATGCTACACGTCCTTAAGTTTCTTTAAAAAAAAAAAAAAAAAAAAAAAAAAAACAACAACATAAAATCTTCTATTGACGAACAATTGCCAGCAGCAAACGCCGGTAATCACCACTTGTATCGCTTGATATCATTGTGGCCAAAGTCTTCTGATACATTTGTGCAAACATCTGTTTAATTTGCACAAGGTCAATCTATGCAAAGAAGGGGAAAAAAAAGGTCAGAAAGCCTTGAGCATATATTGATTTTAACTCCCAGTCTCCCTGTCTCTCCTCTCCCAAATGTTACCGTGGTACCCCAGTTTGGGTAGYTAGACCTTTAAAACTCAGATGTTCTTCTGCTTAATTGCAGAAACCACCACAAATAGGGAGGAAAGGGAACAGAGATGAAAGTACTAGCCAGAAATAATTATTGCATGAAATCTTTAAACCAGATTGTTCATCAGTTTTGAGCAGAATAAAAGCTTCAGTGCAAATAATTATTTGCACAGCTTTTAGCTGCGTGGGAAATCTACATCCAAAGTCTTTGTGTTCTGGAGAGGAGGAGAGAGTTTCTTACCTCGCTGCGAGTGACTACGATTCTGATAAGTGTAGAATCATCCGTGCCAGCTCCTTTCATGGAGTAATAAAGTCTTTCTGCAAAAAAGGCTGGACGATTTAAAGCACATTGCACTGCAATAAAATTAATTGTTAAGATTAGTTCCAGTACTGCGTGCTGTGTGGTGATACTTGGCAAGATCCATTCAGGACTTTTACTGTGGACAGCCACAGCTAGGTGTTGGTAGAGATCCTGTTGTGGTGGATAACAGGAATTGTTTATAGAGTTGCGTTTGGTTTCTAGCTGACCAAGTAGTTCCATTCCTAGAAAAGTTATCATTATTAATAGCTAGCTTTTCTGGAAGAGCTTCTTAAAGTTTGATGAAGCCATAATTCCTAAATATGAATTTAAATACTTCTTCTCCTTGGATAACCAGCAGCAGTTATCTGGATAATAGGAGGATAGAAGGTTTTTATTTATGCTCCATTGCTAGAGTTTCATAAATATAGATACAGATGTATAAAGTTTTTGAATAGATCTTGTTTCAGTTAGACTTTTCACATCCAAACACAGGCCTCCATTCTCTTCCAAGACCTTCAGAGCTGAGTTTTTCCAACAGAACTCTTTCATACAATATGATCTGAAAAATTTGGTTTAATTCAGCAGTTTCCTACCAATCATAGCTACAGAAATAGTGTCATCCTCGTAAGTATTCGCAGGACTGATTTCCACAGAGTACTGGTCACTTTTCTGCACTATTAGTAAATCATGCTATGTTTCAAATGTTTCACTGTTATAAGCCAGGAAAATGGATGAAATGAATGGTTATGTTCTCCAATTAGGTTCGAAGGGAGTAATTTGATTAATCAAAGTTACTTTTCTGTTAGCAGATTCTCAGATTATGCTTTTGTTTTCTATATGACCAGCGCTGAATTGCATCCTCCTGAATAATGTTAAGAAGGGAGTGATCTTTGAATCCCTAAGGGGTAACGGGAAGGAAGAACTTATCACTTACAAATAGCCTTCAAACCACGCTCCACATTTCCAGAAAATTCTCGGTCAATGCTGCTTAATAAATCCCGATTAGCAATCTGAAAACAAGTGACATTAATATGTGGCTAGTGAAATGCAATAACAAATGGATCTTTAAATCAAAATACACTGGCCAAATTGAAATCAAAATACATCGACACTGATTTGTCATCGGTGCCAGGCTCCTACCTTGGAGTATGCTTCAACTGTTGCTTTCAATTGAGGAAAACTTCTGCTTGCCAGAACCATGTTAAAGCAAGACTCATCAGTCCCAAGCTTTCCTTCACCTGCTTGGTACAGACGCTGAGCGTCTTCCTGAGCTTTCTGATAATCCACAGTTTGATTCTCATCCCGATTACCCTGAAGCAAAGACATCAGTCTAGTCATTTTTCAGGAACTGTACTAAATTCCCTTATTCCCTTAATAATATAAACTTTCTCTTCATTTGCTTCTAGGCTTCAAGTTGCAAGGAATCTCCCCAAATGAACTAATGAATTACCTTACAGAATATGCACATCTCAGCTCGCTCAGGTCTTCTGTTAGGAATTTGCTCATTTCAAGTAAGAATGCCTCTAGAAAGCACGTGCTGTAGTTGTAATGTGGCAGCAGAGCTTCTGTGACAGTTTATGTGCTTTGAGGTTTGTCTTTTTGCTAACTGATGCATGGATAGATATTGCTAAACATTATCGGTCAAGTAGGCTTAATACATAACTCTCAAGTACTGTGGTACCTATAGTGGTGATTATATTATTTAAATTGATGTGGTTGTCAGTTACTGTTAAGTACTGCATTTATCAAAATAAAAATTAGTGGCATGAGCTTCTCAAGTTTTGCTTTCTTGTGGATTTTGACTTTTTAATCCTAGTGAAGAGCTGACCTCTCACTAAGGTAGAGGCAAACAAGACTGGGAAGTGTCCCAAATTCCAGCAGTGAATGGACAGGATCATTAGAGAAATATGGGAAGATGTATTTGCTGCAGATCTCTTCCTAAACACTGTTGTTCCTATTCTTTAACCAAAAGAATCCTAGTATAATTGGGCTCCACCATTCACTGGACTTCATTAGTAGCACACACCCAATCCCAGTGATCTGAAAAAGGGAGGCTCTCCTGTGACGTGGCCGGTAAGTCTTGGCCTGCAGTGCCTCTTAGCTTATTTGGGGGGGTATTCTGCACACCATAAAGCTAATCCTATTGGATACACCCAAATGATGAAAGAATATATGTATATTAAAAAATACACACACAAAAATATACATCAGCATGTGGGAGCTTTTCTTCTAGTACCATTTGATGACATAACAAAGCTTTGTTTGCATAACAAAGTATTTCAAAAATACATTCTCTGAGGTGAACACAGAGTTCTTAATTAGGTCACTCAGTTCATCACAGATTTCTAAATGAGAAATATCTCTTTCCCTGAAGAGGGATTAAAGGGTCTGATCTGGTCAGARRGGAAGAAATTAATGAGCCAGTGCTRATTTTTTATAGAACGTGACTCAGGCTAAGTCTGCAGAGGCAATTCATTTATGGAACAATTATGAATATATGCTAAGTCAGACTGTTCACCATTACTGTACCAAAAAATATATAGATAGATATCTATAGATAATATATATATCTTTATACAGATGTCTGTATATATTTTACACACACACACACACACACACACACAGAGGAGAGAATATAAAGCTCACTTGGCACATGGATATCAATAATCGTTCAAAGTGTCCTGAGGTGTCAGATCTGATGTCGTGCTCGAGGTCTCTTCCAAATTCTGATTTATAGCAGTTCACTATTTCTCGAATTTCCTGGTTTGTTCTTGTGCAAAGGATCTCGATCAGCACCCTCTCCTGAGTGCCGGCTCCCTGCAGACACAGGAAAAGGTGGCACGCTGCAGAGCACCTCCTACTCGGGTATGTTTAATGGTGAAAAAAGCCTCATCTACAGGGTCACACCAGCACCCTTCCAGTGTGAATGCACTGTCTTCTGTATAATTAAAATGGAATTAAGATTTCTGAAACATTCAGTTCTGCATCTGTTTAAAAAATATCCACATAATATGCTTCCATAATGATGGTATCAGCCAAATTTAACTGAAAGATGATATAGGAAGGAGATAAGTTCTTTGACATTCGTATTCTGGGAGTGTGCTGGAGCAAGGTAAAGAATTATGGTAGCCCTTAATGCAGATACAAACTTAAGCAAATACACACTTAAATCCTTCTTTACTCAGTTTACAAATGCATTCATGATGCAAAATGTGGCTGCCTCCTCAACACGGAGCACCAGCAGGAGCTTTCCAATGATGCTTTACTGTCCCCAGAACAGAAAGTGACTGGTTTTTATTTCACATCATGTTGGCATGGCCACCTCTACTCAAGCATAGACAGCAATGGATTTATAGGGGATCCCTCTCCAGGGAACTTTTAAGCAGTGTAATAAATGAAAAAAGGGCAAGAATGGCTGTTGCCATTCATCATCTGACCAGGAGAAAATATTCTTTTAGCATTCTGCTGAGAACACTGAATATTTTAGAAATATTTTCAAAACCCAAAACCTTGTTCCTAGCAAGGAGGAGGTGGTTACCTTCAATTTATACACTTTTAACTGCTCCCCAACTTACTTTTCCTAGATGAGCATTTTAAGATGGTTTTAACCTACTTGGTTCACAGTAAAACTGTACCTTCATTGCATGACGTAAACTCCAGGCATCATAATAGGTGCGAGGCATGAAAAGGGCTAGAATCAGTTCTTCCACGTTGCCACTTAATTCAGACTTCAGGTCCTTAATTAAATCCTGTCCAATTACAAACACAAGAAGGGAGTCACAATATGGGTGCAGCAAATTGATCAGCAATTGCTTGAAGGGGCAGCTGCAGCAGCAGCTGGATTACGCCTTCGTTTACTGAGTCACAAAGCTAGTGACCATACCTTGCCATACATAGTCTTGAAAGCTGCCTTGATCTTCTGCCTCTGATCGTTGGAGCGGTTCGCTACGACGTCGATGATGGCCTGCTCGTCCGTTCCTTGCAAACAGAAGGGCAGTTGTACTTCAGAACTCAGTAACTCTCCAAGGCTGTCCAGTTTGTAATTATGCATTTTGGCATAGTTAGACAAATGCATGACTAACATATCTTTTTTTTTTCAACCAACTTAACTTATTCTGCCAAAGAACCCCAGTAATTTTGACTCAGAAGCTCAAAGGAAAAAACATATGATTAAATAAAAACTTGGGAAAGAAAATGGAATTCACACACTAACTAGCTCAGTAGAAATGTAAGTTTCTGTTATGTACTTACCAAACCCCTTCATAGCTTTGCGCAAAATTTCTGCATCCCTTCCAGCATCAAAGTTTGGAGCAGCTTGAATTGTGCCTTGGGTACACTGAACTGCTGCTGCAGGCTTAGAATAAGAAAAGCATGTAGAGCTGGTTATTCTTCACAAAACAGATTTGCATTGAAACTTTCCAGTTTCAGCTGGAGGAGTCCTAAGAAAAGCTGGTCACTCTGTAAGCTGTTTGATAAAACTGGACCAGTTTATAATCTTTGATATCCACCAAACTTTGTGGGAAAAGCTATACTAAATTGCCTGTATGCAACTATGATTGCTTAAATGTAGTTATGTTTTCAAACTGCAGATTAGAAAGGAGTAAATCTAAACCCTAAATCTAAAAATTGCAGTAGCAATGAATTACTTTTCTTTGGGCCATTTTTTTTTGCCTTTAACACAAAGCCCCAGTGAATCCAGGAGGAAGTACAATCCTCTATTCCATGTGTCCTCCCCATGTCCCGACCTTCTGTCCCTAGCTTCCTCCACCCAACCAGCTGTGAATACACTGCTCTGCCAACAGMTCTAAAAAGGAGAGAAAACTACAGAAGCCAGAGAAGTTTGATTGTAAAAGAGGAAACAGCACATACCGGGCCAGGCATTGGTGACGGTGTTTGTCCMCCACCATATCCTACTGAAAAGAAATTCAGAAACAAGATGAAAGGAATTATGTTTCTTATTACTATGTAAATGCTATCTAATTGAAAATACAACCATTTATTGACTTGCTAAGTGACAGCTGTGGCAATGCACAACCCCCCAATTTCCTAAGTAATGAAACTTGTAATGATCAGCTCTTCACCTTCAGAAGGTTGCCAAGTGTAAGCTGCAGAAGTGTTCGGGTATGAACATCAACAGAGCAATGCTAGAAATGCTGAATTTAACGATGCCGTGGTAGCTGGTAGGATCTCTCCCCATTAAATGTTGGTATCCTTGATGTACCAGCTCTTGTCCAGAAAGATGGCAGGGCATGTACAGCATCTGAACCTCACCAGCTAGTAGCGAGGGCCTAATCCGTAACTACCCATCTTGGAGTATCTTGCTGCAACTCTGGATGCTTAAAATTTCTTCCCGAGGACAGGGAAACGCCRCATACCTGGGATCTGCGCGGGTCCGCCTCCAGCATAGCTTTGGGCCGGAGGCTGCGGGAAGCCACCGAAGCCGGGGGCAGCGGGAGGCACGCCAAAGCCGGGGCCCGTAGGAGCTAGGAGGACAGGAGAGACTTTAGCACGCTTCGTTTTACCCATCAACTGGGCTACTGATCAGAATCAGAAAAGAGATTAATGGCAACCTATGACTTCTTTTCTCTGTCTTTGCAGCGGCCAGCAACCCAAAGGCATGAAGGTATCAATGAACACGTATTTACTGCTGCACATCAGTCTGTCTGGCTGTCTAAATACTACCACCTGAAGTGATTACTCAACACATCTGTTCTTCACACCTCGTACCAAGCCCAGGGAGCGGCTACAACAGAGCTGAGCCCGCAGGACGTTACCTCCAGGGTAGGCCGGCATTGCTCCTGGCTGCGGCACCGCAGGGTAGCCCCCTGGCGCGGGGTAGCCCCCCGGCGCGGGGTATCCTGCCGCGCCAGGATAGCCGGTGCTCGGCGGGGCCGCGGGATAGGCCCCCGCTCCCGCCGGCGGGTATCCTCCGGGAACGGCCGGATAGGAGTACTGGCCGGCGGGCGGGTAGGCAGACTCTTGGCCTGTTGGCTGAAAGGAAAACGGGCTGTTTGTACCTCTGTTAACAGGACCTTAGGGTAAAACCGCTCACGCTACCAAAACGTATGTGTACATAATACCATGATCAGGCTAAGCACGTGAAGCAGCCGGAGCAGAACTCACAGGGCCTGCATGGGAGGGCTTCCCGACGTGTCCCCCTGGTTGKAAAAGCCCCTGCACCAGCTCAGAGACTGCTGCAGGGGGAGGCAGCTCTGCAGGCTGCTGCCCCATCCCCTTCCAGAGCAGAGCCAGCAGAGCCAGCTCAGGAGTTCGATGAGGTTGCTCGAGGCCRTGGCAAGTTTTGAACTTGAAGTCTCCGAGGAGAGTGACTCCACAGCCTCTCTGCTTCCACAGTTCAACCATGCCGGTGCGGACAGGGTTTTCCTGAATCCCATTACAATTCCCCTTGCTGCAGCCCGCGCTTGCTGCCTGCTGCTCTTTCACACTGCACCTCCGAGAAAAGCCCAGTTCTACTTCCCCTGCTCATCTCAAATGTAAGGTCATTGTCAGGGATGTGGGGATGAAAAGCAAGAGCATCATCTACAGGGCATATACCTTGTGTGAACTGACAGCTGGTATTTACACAGACACAGCAATGGGTATTCACAGCATATAAATATATTAGGCATGCAACACATCTAAGAACCATACTTACAGGATAACCAGGGAAAGCAGGATAGCCTGAAGGGGGATAACCTGGGTATGACATTCTGGAAAAGAAAGAGATTTTCACTTGAACAGTACTACATATGAGTTTGTAGAGTTGTTTGCTTGCTAATTAATTACCCGTTATATCATTTGTTAATACGTTTAGTATATGCAGTAGTGCTCAGGAGTACTTGTAAGCTACTAACCCCATAAAAACTTTCCTTTCTTTACACAGATGGCAAGCAAACTTGCAAGTAGCAAGCAGGATTCAGAAGGGAAGTATCATCAGTTCTCTTATTACCTGCCATCCCTGCTTAGGGTAAGTTAATTACCCTATAAGAGGCTTGAACCTCCACAAAGAATTCTGCACTACAGGGTTACGGACCTTGAGATGCTTGAGGCAGTGCAGAAGTGGGGCCTTTTCCAAGTCTAACTCTTCTGTTTCTGCTCTGGCATAGGGCTGGTGTAGTAGCATAGATCTGGCATAGTAGCATCCTCCCTATTGCTGTGTAAAAAGGTAATTTGCTAGAAATGTGGTTTTCATTATTAACTGCTTTTGTCTACAGTTATGAAATAGATATATGCACTGTTAAACAGTGAACAATAATTAGAAAGATCAAATAATTTGATTAAAACGAAGAGTAGAATAATGCTTACATTGTGCAATTTGCAAGGAAGCTTAGGGCTGGTTATCTGAATGGTTATCTGAGACAGCCCCAAATCAGAATGAGATTACTTGGAGCTTAGAAGCCAGCCAACAAAGGGCAGTTTTGGAGGTTAAAAACAAACACACCATAAATCAGACCGGCTGTTACAAGGGCATGATCAGACCAGGCTTACTACCAAATCATAACTGTGTGCTCAAGCATGGGAGGGCCAGGGTGACTCACCAACCTCATTTCATTTACTTTGAACTTTGAGTTGCTTTCAGGATTTCACATCCCTCTGACTCCTACTAAACATAAGAAATGACTCTGTAACCAACACGGACCCTCCTGCAGAATCAAACTCCACCACACGGTGCTAAGTGCACCATTAAAACGGTGTGTGAAGATCTGAATTTTAATCCCAAGTGGATATGTAAAAATAAGAAAACTATATAAATATCAGTTATGCTGCTAAAGGCATTTAAAGCTGTCAGCATAATGGAAACTTGCATGAAAGGCATGCAAGAAATGGGAGGGAAAGTTCAGGCAAAAGACAGATGCCTACTTTTTCAGCATGCATGAATCTCATCATTGAATTGACTCTTCTGCCAAAATCGTCCTCCTAGATGGGAAACATTCACATTTCTTGCATAAGGGTCATTGGAGAGGGAAAGCGGGTGGAAAATGTGCAGGGRTGGAGGGATCCCTGCACAGAAACCACCTTCACATCCGCTCTGCTTAGCCTGAGCTGGCAGACACTGGTGAGGGGCTGCTCGGGCTGGGACAGGAGGATCACTTCTCTGCTTAAAGACCCTCGGGCTGCTATTTTATCATCTCTTCCTGAACAAGGGTGAGTTGAACCTCTTTGCAAGTACTCTGTGCAGCTGTTTACTTCCAAATATTAACACCCTTGTGCTTGAACAGAATAATGAACCCGGAAGCATCAGAGAGTAAACTCAGTTTGTCAGCTTCCAAAACACTCCCCATTTACCCCCAAATCTTATCTGCCATACCCAGCATTATTTCATTTGTGTAGAAAAAAATCTGTTTCCTGACAATACGTCCCATTTTTAATAGAGGGACTCAAGAGAGCAGGAGTGGAAGAAGACAGGGCTCAGCCATGTTTCCATTCATTTGGACAGAGTTTCAAGGTCATTTGCCCACCTAATGAACACTTAATGGCAGAAGGATAAACCATGTTAATGCTGACCAGGAAGATGCCCCCGATGAGGGAYGGGAAATTATTTCCTTTATGTTCATAAGACAACACATACCTTATCTGCACAAATCAAGGGAAACGGGATAAATAAGAAAGGACACAATACAGCTAATGATTGTTCAGTGTTTATAGGTATTCCCTGAACCAAAACATAGATCTGAAAACAGTATTCTTATTATGGCGTACCATGAAGGCAACAGTTGTTTAGAGAAGTAAACATCCCAGAATTAATGCAGAAAACATTCAAAGTGAGGGTACATTAGTTCAAGTAAACGATGAGACAAGCCTTTAGAAAAGTACAACTGTGTTAAACTAAAGCTGAAAGTGTAATAGTTTTACAACTCTCACTTCATAAACAACTTGAATCATCTCTTAAGTGGTTTTTCTAAATGCCTTAAGGGAGAACAACAGGTGAGGTTAATTTTAAATCTAAGCTATAATCATAAACACTGGTAATTGTTATTTATTTCCCTAAGAAACACCTTAAACCAATACCTGTAGCAATATTTATTATTAACAGCTACTTGAATTGACTTCAACAACACATTTCTTCTGCTGTTTCTGTTACTTAATTCTGGTTGCAAACTCCTTCCAGGAGTTTCAATAAGCCACATTTCCTTTTGATTTTGCTCTTTGTTCTTCCTGCTTGGATAGAGTCGGACGTCAGCGCTGATGCAACACAACGCAACACAAATTAAATCAAAAAGCTGATTTTTTTTTAACATCATTTAATTCAACTGAAGCTGTGTTACTAAGCAGAGAGGGCTGCTCAGCCTGCACAGCTTGCAGTGCAGAGGGGAGCACTTCCACTGCGCTAAAATGCTTTTCAAAGCCAACAGCTGGTGCCTGCAACTCAGCTGTTACTGTACATTTTAACTTGTACAATAAATGGGACTCAGCAAGGCTTTAAGCATATTGAACTACACCAAAGTTTAGACTTTGGAGTAAGATCATTTGTTTAAGATGAACGTTTCCAACATTTCATTTTCAATCAAAAAGTTATCAAAACTATCTCATATTTCTGATTCTTACTGAAGAATTCCTGAAACAGCTCTATGTGTACATATGTGCTCTTCAGMAGATAAACATTTACTATTGTGTGATTTAGTTTATCAGCTGTAAGTCAGCTCCTTCCCCAGCACGCAGCCCTGTTTATCTCGGTGCATCCCGAGGGAGAACTGAGGCTCTGCCGTTACTACTTTTACAACCGAAGCGAGAGCCCATGAGCACTGGAACTGATTCACTTTTTCCACCCGGGTCTCCTCGGCGCAGTCACGCGAAGCGGCTCCGCACTGCGCAGACCTGGGCCATTTAAGCCCTGCCCAGTGAGTCACCAGGTCGCCCGGCCGAGTGCGCTTCGGGACGTTTAAAAGCCGTCGCAGGGGTCGCTCGGCGGCTTCGCCCTTTCCYGGGGGCGCTGAAACGGCCCCGCGAGGCTCGGGGCGGCGCCCGCGGCCGTTGCCGCCGCGCGGCGGCCGTTACCGCCGGCCGTTACCGCCCCCCGCCGGGGCGCGGCGGCCGTCCCGGAGCGGCGGCTCCTCGCCCCTTCCGGCGCTGCGCGGGGCAGGGCGGCAGGTAGAGAGTTACCCAGTCCCGCTGTCGCGGCGGGGGCGCGAGCCTCGGGACGCGGCTCCGGCCGGGCACCTGCCGCTTCGCGCGGCGGGGCGGCCCGTGCAGCGGCTGCCGCGCTGGGCTGGGCAGGCGCGCGGGCCCGGCTGCCGTGTCCCCCGCCCCCGGCGCCGCTCACCTGAACGGAATTGCGGAGCCTCCGGCCGCTCTCCCGCAGCTGCACCGCAAAATGGAGGCTGTGGGGCCGGGCGGCACCGGCCGCTCCGCCCCCGGGTCCGCCCCGGCCCGCGGCGCCGGGCAGGGCCGCCGCGCCCAGCGCGCACACGGGCCGGGCCGGGCTAACCGCAGCCCTGCTCCGTGCCCGCAGCCCTGCTCCGCCGTGCGAGGCTGCTGCCCTCCTCCGGCCGCGGGGCCGGCGCTCCCCCGCGCCCAGGAGGTAAGTGCCGTACCCCGGCGCCACAGAAACGAGCACAGCGCGACGCCAGCTGTGCCAGGAGGCCCTCAGCACCCCAAACACCGGCAAGGGCCCCTTCACCCTCTACAGGAATCACACACACAGGTTGAGGGTGGAAGGGACCTCTGGGCAGCGTCTRCTCCAACCGCCCTGCTCAAGCAGGGTCACCTAAAGCACTTCACAGGATCGCATCCAGGTGGGGGGGTTGGAGTACCTCCAATCCAGACTGCAGTTTCCCTATGACACCACTGAAATGAAATTCAGCCCCTCTGCAAAAGGCTTTAAATTACGTCTTATTATCCAGTAACATATGAGGCTGTAAATCAAGTCCAGTACTGGCAGGTAGCCAGCCAAGATAGCCAGGTCCCCAGACTAGTGTCTAATTGGCAAAATGCATCAAGGACATTAGTGGAGATGGAAAAATGGGGCCTTCTTATGTAGTTGAGGATCACCACATGGGTCCCAAGGTAGGACTAAGGGTAGGACTGTCCTGACTACTAGACTGATTCTTCTAGAAGGACATCTCAGTTGTAGGTATTTGTACATGACTAGTTACTGTGCAGCGTGCACTTAGTGCTTTAAATGTATTGTCTGTTCTAAGCATGCTATGAATAAACATTGCAATACATATCATTATTCCTTCCTTTACCTTATGGCCAATTACTCAGAAGAAAAATTGAGCAGCAAGATGGCACTCTATGAAGGATGCACCCATGTTATGCTTGTAATTATTCAAGGCAATTTCCCTCTGCGTTTTGTTGTATGTTATGATAAGCATATGCAAGTAGTTCAGAGACCATGCAAAAAGAAAGCTGTTTTTCCTCCCTAATCTGGTGCTGTGCATAAGTACTAGATGAAAAAACAGCCACTGTACTACTTGTCTGTAAAATGGCATTAAGTGCAGGCAGCAGAAAATAGGTTGGTAATAATTTACCATGCTTGCCCACTTCAGATGAAAAGCACCCAACAGCACACGCAGAATTTGAACAGTGACCTATCTTCAGCACTGCTGGGCTTTTAATTCCCTTGTTTGCCCAGAGTATATTAGCAACAATTTTAAGAATTTAATAATCCTTGCAGCATTCTTCAGCTGACATTCCCAGTGTATGTCTACTCTGTTTTCACCTGTGTTAAGCTCATTTATTTCAGGCYAGGTGTATGTTCAAATCCTTGTTCCCTTGAGAACCAAAAACCTTTATAAAATACACACTTCATCTGATTTAGCAGGCTGCTTGGATTTGAGCTATTCAGGGAAGGAATCGGTTTCCACAAGCAAGTGAGAAAAGAGCAAAAGAAAACATTTAAAGCAGTAACTTGAGAAATAGAAGTCAATATTAAATGCACTACATGATTATATATAAACAAGAATCCCCCAGAACGACTTATTTTACAGCATGGAATGGAACCATTGTGGTTGTGTAACTGCACTCCTTGTATTCAAGGAAAGCCCCTGACTTGCTACAATAGCTCAAACCAGCACCTTTAGGAAAGCTGCTGAGGTCCCCACAGAGAATCAAGACAAACCTCCACTATTGGAAAACTGAGCAGCTTAGCGAAACAAACATTCCTGCTCCTCGCTTTTGGAATATCCTTATATCTTTTGCTAAGATATATGATACCAGAGAGAATTCCGGCAGGGGTTTTTATCTTGAGTACATAACCATCCTGAGTGCTATCAATAGGAGAGCAAAAACAAAACTTCTTTTTCAAAGCAGGTTTACTGTTGGGACATAGATAACAATGCAGTGGTGCTTTTCTATGCTATATGCTATATAGGTTGGAATACTGCTTAACACTTGAATAATACAAAACATTACTTTGGATGATATGTTTCAGTCAGTGCAGCTAAAAAGCATGCTTTGCAGTAAGCAACAAGATTTATTCATCCTTGAAGCACAGGTCAAAGTACAGCAAACCAACAGGCTACTGCAGTGATCCACGTCTAAACTATGTACTAAAAAACCTCTCCCTGTCACACTGCCTTGTGACTGCAGTAATTAAAATGTGGATAGTCAGTCAGCTGTTGAGTTAACCTTCCAGGGGGACAGGGAGTAAAGCGACTTCTGATCACCTGAGGATCCAGGTGTTTGGGGAGCTGCTCAAGTGAGAGCCGCTGCGCAGCGGAGCGTGTCAGGCCTCCACCCACTATAGTGCCAACATGTCGATTTTGGGCACATCGTACAGCTGAGCTGCAGTCCCGCTCTCGTGGTTCTGCTGGGTGGAACCGCACTGAAAATAAAACCACACCCTTCTCCGGGCGTGCAAGGAGCAAGAGCAGACGGTTGTGCTTTACCCCTGAAAACAGCAGCACATCCAACAGTTTTCACCAGCAACTTATTCACCCTACTGACCAAAACCATGCATTTCAGTTTGATCAAGAGTACATGGCATATGCCTACAGCTTCACACATATGCCAGATACACCACTACTTCCTCTTTGTAGCAGATATAAATATAACACAAAGAAATGTGACTCAACAAGGCAAACTTACTGACCTTCATCCTAATATACTGAAATAATCAGTAAGTGATACTGTAACTCTGACAGCAGAACCTTTTTTTTTTTCCTTATATTTATCAAACTGCAAATAGTAGGAAAAAARGAGCTTAAAGTAGAACAGTTAATGTTTTAGAAGGCTCACAACCAAATATATTGCTTATCAAAGACACTCACTGGACATAGTGAGTCACCTTATCGCAATATACATTCTAAGTGAGGAATTTGGTATAAATTATTTGGGCATTCACAGAAGACTTGACAAGAGAAGACTTAAACCAGAGGAGACTTAAAACCAGAGAAGACAGAAATGAGCATGAGCAAGGATAAGGAACTTGTAAATAAGAACAAAGGCCATATTGAAATGGGAGTTTGTAGAATTCTGCTAAGTTGGTTTGGGATCAGTTCCAAATTCTTCTTCTTAAGTGAGTACAACATAAAAGCTATGAAAAAGCTAGTATCTGCTGACAAAACTATGAGATATTGTTCATACTGAGAATAATGCAAACAAGGAGAAAAGTGGAGATGATTATAATATCTTAGAAAAGATCTTTTTTCAGTTAAAACCTGACATAATGCCAAGTCATGTATTTAAAGTAGTAATTTCCACGGCAGATTGGAGCTGATCTGCAAACGACAGCTGTGGGAAGAGATTTGACGAATTGAGGTATTCGGTCACACTAAGTAACAGAATCCAAAAACAAACAMGGAAACGACTGAAAAGTATTAATGTCTTTTTCTAGCCACTGCTTTATACACTAATATGGATATGGTGTTTATTAGCTGAATTTCCAGAAARACTGGACTGAAGATGAAGTGGGCTGCTAAGTGATTAACACGTGCACAGGGCATCCCAAGAGAAGGCATTAATCTAGCAAAACAAAGGCTGCAGTATGATGGCTACCTGTAACATCACACCAGGAAGAGCAGGAAACAAGACCTTTAGCAAAGTCAAAGGAGGACAGGGGAATCAAAAGCATGRAGAATCTCAGAAATGAATTTAGGTATATCTAAAGCAAGTCAAGATGTGGTCAAGATAGAGAACTGAGTTTTTGATTCAGGAACTCCATTGTAAGGTAAAAAAATCAGTGGATACCGGGAATCAGAGAAAAGAGCAACAAAAGTATCTGCTAAATACACCGAATTTAGCAATTCAGCATTCTTCCCCTATCCAGGGAAACACGGATAAACACAAATTTTCTTTGGTCACATGTATTTAGCATGTCCAAATTCAGCCCTTTCTCGAAGGATCAGACATGCATAGCAACAATACTGCAGTGTAAATACAGTGTAAACTCAGCTGTCTCATACACTGTCACTACCTTGTCGCTSAAGGACAGATACATAGCACCATTGCTGAGCCTAGAGACCATTCTGCAGTCCCCCCAAAGAGCATATTTTGTTCAGGATGAGAAGCCACACTTGGATTGTGCATTAAAGCTTGAAGGAATTAAAAATAAAAACAAATTTTGAGTTACCTTGCATCTTTTTTTTTTTTCTCCTTTCAAAAAAGATATTCACTATATAGTAAGGGAGAAGAGATTACACTAAGAGAAGGCGTTCTGGCCAATGGAATGGAACTTTTATTTCAAATACATGCTTAGAGTAAAGCTGTATTTTGTTATACAAATAGATAAAGTAGGCGAAAAAGATTCACCTGTTCCACTTTAAAACACTTGGCTCAAATAAATGTTAGGCAGTTTCAATTCATTTCCTAAATCATATTAGGGACTTCCAAGGAAATGAAAACAAAGATGTAAACCAAGTCATCTAGGTAATTAAATTACTGTCCAACAAATATTTGCACCACCACAGAAGAGTATCTGTTTCTTCTTCGAGTTCTTTGAAGTACAGGATGGCAGAAGGTTCTTTATAAACTCAGAAGCTTTTCATTGAGAGCAATCTGTGACTGTGTGAGGTTTGCCAGGTAGGTCACCATCAGTAAGTCCTGAGAGAAGAACAAGGGAGAAAACAAAAAAGATTGAAATATTAGCAAGAGCAAAGACAGCAGCCTGCCAGGGAGATGAGAATTTCTCACCCCTTTAACGTAATTTACAAACACCTGAAGAACTGTCATTAGTCCTGAAGATCCTATCCTGACAAATACTTCCCTAGGAGRAAGAATGTTTTGGTATTCCTGGGACTTGAAACATCGCTTGTGAAATTTTAACCTTGAGTTCATCCATGTTAACCAAGGAAGTCAAAGGGTATGAGCAAAATTAAAAATTACTTCCAGACTTTCAGACTGTGGGTGAACAACAGGTTCAGAAACTTAGTTTTGTAAAAAGTTGTTAAGGAGACAAGAYAGCGCTAAAACCTTGTTCATGCCTAAAGTGTTACCTAATGAGGCTGTTACATGAGACAGAAGAACTTTTGATCAGGTAAATAGAGTTGACAAGGCAGCAATTATCCTTCAAATCCATACTGCATTAAATGAGTTCTTAAGTACTTTAACACTCATTCTCTCAATTGTTTGCAAGATTATGGTGTTCCTTTATTGATACTCAGCTTTAAAATACCAGAACTACAGAAAAGCTATAATTGCTATTAAAATGTCAATATGAAAAGGTAGTTTGTTCTGACCATAGGCAAACTCTGGTCTGCAAGACAAACATTCAAAACTGCTGGCAATACACTGAAGAAAGTAAAAACCAAACTTACATTGATATTGCTGTTCAACATTGTCTCAAAGTCCTCTGGTGAAATCTTTGGCACCTGATTAATAAGGTCCATCAGGAATCGCCCAACAGTGTTGTCAGCAGCCACTTTGCCAGACTAGGTACAGGCAGGAAAAAACAAAACAAAGCAAAGCTACACCGTGAGCAAAACTCRTGGCACAAACTCAAAACTAAAGCACAGAAAAGAGAATACACAAATGAAAAACAAAAGACACACAAGCCACCTCCAAGCTCATCTGCTGGCTCACAAAAGGTTTGCCTTACCAGTACATCCTCTGCATACTGCAGTACCATGGTCAGGGTATCCTGGATCCTGGCCGAGGCTGATCCCACCTGTTGCAAGTCACTGGACAAGCCGATCACTCGATTAGGGCTAAAACAGGTCTTCATGATAAGATCCACTGAAAGCAAAAGAAGTATCAGTGAAGRAAAAACGACTGCCACAAAAAAACTATGCATTTCTCCCCTACTGCTGCCAGACCTGCTCCACCCCACACAGAGTTTTTAAATCCCTTTTCTTTACAGTAATCTCAGAAGTTACATGCAACATTCAGAGAACTACTATTAGAAGTCAGTAGTGCCTGGATTTGTATTTGCCATTTATTAACTGTGGTGCAAACTCAGATGAAATACTTGTGATCCCCAAATATTAACAAATCAACAATGATTAACATTGTTTCACAATCAACGGGAAAAAAATGCTAATAACTTCTTGAAACATGATACATCTACCATCCCAATGAAGGGAGCTCTCAGCCTCTGTCTCCCTCTCCCCAGTTCTACAGTTACTTGTCATTTCCATTTGCTAACATTATCTTGCTAGCTCATGTCTTAAAATTAATGTGATCCTGTCTTCCAGAGTGTTTTGCTACTACAGYGTGACTCTGTTCTGCAGTCGTGTTGCCATACACCCAGAATATCGCTCCACCTTCATCAGTGTCTTCACTGTATTGTGTGATGGTGAAGTACCCCTGCTCAAACAATGTTTAAAAACAGCACGAAGAAACAGAGTCTTTGCTATTTGGGGCAGTAAAACACAAACAGAAGTATCTGTGTGCGTGAATATGCAGCAATCTTGCAATGTAGCCCTCAGCCATAAATCCCAGAACTGCAGATCCCTCTGATTCCCCAACAAGTACCAACAATTCTGGTTAGGACCGTAATAAGAAGAATAAAACTCACCTCCTATCCGTTCTGTATCATAGTAAACATACTTCACTGTTAGAGGTGTGAACATCACACCCATAGTTTTGCCAGGGACCCCCATTGGAGCACTAGGGAAAAAAGAAAAAAAAAAAAAAGATGAAAACATCCGAGTTTTCAGCATTGATAATTGAAAGAAGGATGATTGGGGCCAGGAACAAAAGGAACAAAAATAAAGATAACAAAAATTCAACTGTGAAGCACTCAACCCTTTTGTTATTTCTACGATCTATCTACCTGAAGTTCATTTATGCTTTCAGTATGGAARGTGCTGTGGAACAGCTTTTTTTGGAGATGCATAGTCAGGCAACAGCATGATTTTTGCTAGAGGGAAAGGTCAGGCCTCTATTATGGAAAGAGGAGAGATCTTCACTCAGTAAGAAGAAGAATAGCGAGGTGGAATAGTTGCATTTCTCAGTATTTAGCCTCTATTGTCAGTGGATAAAAATGGAGGAGGAGAAGGACTAGAAAGACTAACCAAGAAGATGCTGTTCTGTGTTAATTATACTGACAACTAAAATGCCCAGAAACGAGGTTAACAAAGCCATCTTACGACAGGTCAGGTGTTTCAGCTTCTTTATGATAGTCAAGACATTCCAGTAGGAAGAAAACCATGAACYCCGTCTGACAACTTCAACACATTATTGTCTCCGTGGGACCCTGCAGCTCATTACACTTGCTATCATGATGTAGCTGCTCTCTGTAATCCAAATACAGCCTTCCCCAAAACGCAGCTTCCCCAAGTACCTGACGTAAGCTTTAATGCTCATGCGTCCGTTCTGGAGACTGGTGTCCACGGTGAGGTGGATGGGATTGTGCGCTTCCCGGCTGTAATACTCGTGGATCAGGACCGAGTGCTCAGTGATGTCGTGACCCGTCGCATACCTGCACAAACACAAACATAAGGAGCTGTTCTTCCAACACTCACGTTCCCAAGGTTTGTTATATATCGAGGATATTGTATCCTCAACACTAATTCCCAAACACGGAGCTGCAGAATCATGCCAGATACAGTGTTTCAGCCAGGTAATTTGGAGCTTTACAGGCAGCTGCTCCGGACCTGCAGGCACTGCAGTGTGAGCCCAGGCATACCAGGAACTTGCATACGGCCAGTGTTCTAGGAGCAGCCACACAGAGTCAACAGAGCTGCTATCAGACACCCGAGAGTCAAGCACTTCTCACTAGCTTTGGACCMACTCCTTATTTCAATGTGAATCAAGGCATGTCAACTGACTACAGCCATGCGCATTCGAGTAGATCTTCCACGTGTGAATGCTAGAGGCAGGACTTGTTAATCCAGATCTTTTAGCCGCTCTGCAGCTAGCCTCCTATACGCACAGGAAAGCACGTGCATAACCAACACATGTCCCGGTGCCATTAAAAGGTTTTGAGGCAACTGTGCTGTGCCTACAGACTCTTGCTCCACAGGCACAGAAACGTTCAGTTTTCCAAGATCAGAGAAGATAACGGACAGACTGAGAAAGCACCCCCTGCATCCACACACCCTGAGGCCTGGAGTCAGGCTCTGGCCCCACAGCATCCTATAGATTGTGGCCTGGCCCAGCACAAGCATTCCCACCTATTCCCGGCCTGCAGCTGATGTGACACAGACTCCTCCTGAGGCCTYCGCGGACCATCCCCGGTAGCGCTGCTTCCCGCTAGGAGCTGCGGCGGCCGCTCAGACCGCGCTGCGGCCCGCGACCGGACGCGGAGCGATGGGAGCCGCTCRCGCGCGTGGCTCCTGGGCACCTACCAGCCCAGGATGAGCTCGCTGGGAGACACCTTCTTGTGCAGCTCGTACATGTTCTTGGCGAACTCCATGTCCACGGCCACCTGGAAAACGCGCCGGAGCAGCGGCCGTTACGGGCGCACCGAGATGCGYGCGGGGAGCCGCCGCTTCCCGCCGCGCCTACCTCATCCTCGGACTCGTTGTGCGGCACGGAGAAGCAGTTGGTGACCTCCACCGAGTGCTTGTCCACGGTGCCTGCGGGGAGCGCGGCGCGTTAGCGGGCCGGGCCGCGGGGCGCGGCGGCGCGCGCGGCGCCTCTTACCCAGCAGGGTGCCGATGACCCGCGCCGCGCCCTCGTTGCGCCGCTCGAAGCTGTCCACGATGGAGGCGAGCACCACCGGGTGCAGCCGCACCACGCGCCCGCCGGCGAAGGGGCCCGCGAGCGCGGCCGACAGCGGCGCGGCG